CTTTTCTTTTTTCTACATATATTCTGGAAATGATCTTGACTCTGGCATGATATCAAAAGCCGGGATGCATGCATTGTGCACAACTGCTTCACAGCTTATCCGTTGACAGACACATCCATCCATACTGATTCTTTGATCTAGCCTACCATCTATCAAAAGAGAGGAAAAATACTTAGGATGCAATCCTGTGTGTAGTTGAGATGTAGTCCTCTGCACACTTACCTGAGAGTAAGTCCCACCGGGGTGAGCTGTGGGACTGCAAAATCAGCCAGTGCTCCTTTCATGACAGGCTAACTGTTGAATATGTTTCCCAGATGGAAGGAACAACATTATTAAACCTGGTGGCACACTTGTCATGTCCAAGTATATTTACTTTCTTTTCCAACCCTATTGGGGGAGGGGGGGAGAAGAATTTGCTTACCTCAGGCTATAAGCACAGCAAGGTATTATTATCCTCCAGTCACTCATGTGGTGCAAGCAAAATTCTGTCTCCTTGAATCAGTAGGATGCAAACATTTGCTTTCTGCAGAGTGCAAACCAAACAATAGCACGCAACTTTAATTGCAGAATTAGTGGCATGCAATAATGAAAGCGGCATTTGAAAAATTAAGCATTGGTTGCCACTCATGGATAGCAAGTTGATTGCTTGTTAGTAAGATGCATTTTTGAGCCATCAAAGTGCTTGATATGAATAGCATGTAGCTGAAGGTAGCATCTAGTTCAGCAGAGCATAAATCCAAAATGCTCTCACATGAAAAGGAATCATGGCAATAACAGGTAGAAGCATAAGAGGGATTTAGTAATATGTAAATATCTACCTAGAACATTTAATGCATTGTAATTCCCATTCCCGATGGGTTTTGCTAAAACAAGACATGGTCTTACTGAATTTGGAACTAGGTCTTGCAGTGTTTTTAAAGGAGGCTGAGGCTCTGGGAAATTTCTAATGAAACAATAAGGAATAGGCTCTGGAAATGGCTGTTTCCATTAGCGTTGGTTTTCCTGTGGCTCTCCTGATGTTTTGGGATGCAAATTCCATCGATTCCAGGCAGCATAACCATTGGTCAGGATGATAGGTGTTGTAGTCCAACTACATCTGGAGGACAAAATGTTTTTATGCACAGACTTGTACAGAGCAGAAGACAGGAAGCTGCAGCCTTCCAGATGTTGAACTAAAATCTTGTCCTTGGTCATGCAGACTGGGACTGACTAGCTTTGGAGTCCAAAACTTTGGGAAGGTTTCATGTTTTTCACCTCTGATACGTGATTACCAACTTCTTGTGAAAACACTAATTGAGCCTCACCCCAGCTAGATGCAATCAGGGTGGAACCTGACAACTAAGGACTGAATTTGCTGCATTGCAAGTGTAACCTGGAGGAGTTTGGCAGCTTACACTACAGTTAGTAAATCATTTGGTGAAACAGGCAGAATAAGGGTGCAGTCTAATGGGTGGGACTGGGCAGAGATAGGTGGGTTATGAATACCGGCAGAATCTGAAGCCTTCATATATGTTAATGAACATTATTTGACTGGTCAAATCTACTAAAATGGCTTTATTACATTGGTATTCTACCTCTTTTCACGACAGAACTCAAGGTGACATGAATGTGTCTCCAGTTGAAGAGGGCTGTGAGGAACAAGGCAGGTCGGAGAGCATTCATTCGTAGGGTTGCCATAAGTCAGAGATGACTTGACAGCACATATTGGTTGGTCTCCTAATTCTGCACTGACCATTCCTTGACCCACTTTGCTTCATATGTTTGCTGCACCAAGAGCCTACAATTCATGTCAAGAGAACCCTGATGGAGAACAAGCACTATATGATGAAATTCAACAGTGTTCTTAGTTGATACCTTCCTGTCCCACTGCAAAAACCAGTATCTCAGGCCAAAAGATTGCAGTTCTTTTTATTGTCATGATAAAAAAATAGTTGTTTAGTTATTCCCCCATTAGTTAACACCAGTTGTCATCATGTTTTCCTTTGCTCCCTTTCCTTTCCTTTCTTAATTCCCTGACTACCTGTTGGACTATCTGCCAGTGCCCAGTTTCCAAGATGTTACTTTATTATTATAATTTATTTATTACACTTCTACACTGTCCATAACCAAAGCTCTGTTCTGTTTGGTCTGAGCTGCACAGGCTTAATGTTGTAACAGCGCATGACAATTCACAATTAGAATATTAAGAGGAGCTTGCCCTGAGTAACTTGGCAAGCGTACTGTCCGCGGTGATGTTCTCCATTCCACAACTTTTTCAGTTACTTTCTGCTAGTTTGAACAAAACGGGGAGAGCAAATAAGGTTTGCTTGCTCTAATGATACAACTGATTCAATAAATCACAATTGCACACACAATAGAAAGGAAATGAGAAATATCTGTGCACTTCCCGAGAGGCATCTGGTTAGCCACTGTCGGAAACAGGAAACTGCCAGACTGGGTAGGTTTTAGCTAGGTCTAATCCAGCAGAATTATTCTTAAGAGTAGCCCAGCTAACAGATAGGGACAGCAAAAATATGAGGTGCTTATTCACTTCACAACAAGGAAAGTTTATCCTGCTGGTATCTCACCCTTGGATCAGAGGAACATATGGCCATACCATTTAATTCTCACAATCATTACTCTAAGAAGGGAGACGGAGGGACACAGATGAACTAATTACAGCTCCTGATGATGTTTGATCCTGGGAGAGTGTGGATTGTTTTAATTAGGCTTAGTGAGTATAAACCAGAAGACAGAACCGTGGTTTTAGATCCTGGATTGTTCTGGCTGGTTATACAGTTCCCTGGGTTCAGATGTCCATGGTGTCTGTTTAAAGCTGAATAAAGAAGGCTTCAGAGTCTTCCTCTTGAGAACGAGGAAAAAGTGAGATCAAGGTTTTCAGTGACTTGCTTTCACAACAGTTTCTCCTTATGCCTGAACTAAGACAGTGAGCCACATGGCTGAGTAGCGTTTTTATGCAAGTTTATCTCATCCAAACCCAAGACAAGTGCTCAGTTCACAATACCACAATAGGTAAAATCTCATATTGTTCAAGTGGGCTTCCCCCTTCTCTCCTCCCACTGGTCTCCCTTGTGACTCACCTCCTCCAAAACCTATTCTAGGGGCTACTCAATCCTCTAGGGCAAATGTTGATGACATTTACAGAGTGGTAGCTACCATTGGAAGATTTCTTTCCTCCCCATTCTGCTGGCAGAAGATAGTCCATCAACAGGAAGGGTTAATTGCATGCTGTTCCATATGGCTCACCTAGGTATTTTCATCAACTGACATGAAGGAGCTATGGTAGCTGGATTCTAGCTTTTGGAAGGAAAGTGTCCAAAAATAATTTGATTTAGATTTAATAGCATGAAATGGTGTAAGTAGGTTGGGTTTCCCGTTGCTAGGGGTGCACATTCATCTTAAATTTTCTGCATTGTGTGAAAATAGTGTAATGAAGCTTCTTCCTCTTTAGATGTGTGAGATGGCAAATTTTAATCCCTGAATTTTCCTTGGGAAACTAATGAAGTATAAAGCCTAAGTCGCCTATAAATCCAAGTAATAAGGTACACTGTAAAACTTGTGTATTCATAACTGTCTCCTTCTAGTGCAGTTTTAATCAATATTTCTACAATGCTGAGGTTTTACCTGTAACCTTTCTGTTCTGCCTGGCTTGTGTTACACTCCAATTGTAAACAGTTTCTCGGTTTCACCAGTGTAGTTCACTGCATACAGGGCGTCTGTGCATTCGGTATTAAAATACAAGTGGGATCAACAACCAATTGTTGCAATTTGAAGCAGCGTTCCCAAACACAGGAAACCAGGGGAAAAATCATTGCCGTGTATTTATATACATACAGAGATTTGTATCAAATGCGTGCAACTTGCAATTCCACATAGATTCAACAAAAGCAAACCAAGCAAGTATCCATTCAAAATCAGTGTGTAGAAACCACCCCTTCATATATTAAAAGCATTGTTAAAAACAATGTTCAAAACAGTATCTGTGAAATTGTATCAATAAAACCATGGATGGTTAGATCAGAAAGGCTTCCTGACATTAAAGCGTGTGGAGGAGGCCGGGGAAACAAGGTGGCATCTGCCTGACCTCCCAAGGCAGAAAACTTCAAAGAAACGGAGCTGCTATGCTGAAGGATGCCAATCAAGTCATAGGTCCCTGCAGGAACCGGGATGTAAAAGTGAACCATTTGATAGTCCACTTAGTATTAAATTTAGAATTCCATACCCAAGTCCAGATCCCCATGAAGCCTCTAGGTAACCCTGGACTGGTCACTGCCTGATCAATTAAACTACCTTGCAAGGCTGTTGTAAAGGTGAAATGTGGTTGGGGGAAATAACTGTTTAACCCACCATGACCAAATGAAGCAAATGTGCAGTGCACTTAGATAAGCATGTTCTGTGGTCTCTTTCTGACAAAGCAGCTCTTCTGATCTGTGCTTCTGGTAACTGGAGAAGCAGAAGCAGACTGGAGAAGAGGGCTGGGCTGGCGCATCAAGGGAAGGACACATATGCAAAATATAACGTTTGCCTCCTCATTTTCTTCCCTGGTGCTGGGACTCCCTTTTCTGTGAACTGGGGCAGTCCAGGCTGAGATTGCAGAGCCTTTAATGCCCTTGATCTCATGCAGCATTCAGAAGTAATTTGTTGGGAGCGACTAGGCATGCATGGCAGAAATATCTTTGTAGATCACTCACTTGGATGTTTTTCATGAGCTTATACTGTCAGAATATTTATGAATCATGCATACTGAGATCTGGTGGTTGTTTGTTTAATCTGTAACCCTGAAGAGACAGCTTATTCACAATTCACTGTGGAGTCTGTAATAGTTGGTACATATTTGGGCATGTGCATATTTTTAAAATTAAAATGGAAGCCTCTTCTGTCAAGTTCAATTATTAGGCAAAAGTGCTGCTGGTTTGCGTAGGTGGTAGGCGCTCACTTCTGCATGGATGGGTGTTTAAATGGAGAACGCCTTTCTGGAACTCCTGCCCATCTCCCCACAGTGCCTCCATCCCGCTCTGTTGCTCCTCGCCCACGAATTCCCGAGGCACTCCTGAGAACGGCCTGCGATGGCACTCTGTGAACTGCACTGAAGAACCTCCAGCTGCTGCCGTCACCCAGAGCAAGGTGGAGTCTAGTTTCCACAGCTGGTCCTGCCTTTCCAGCATTACGAAAGGTAGCAAACTGTTAGTTCTGCTATTTTCACTATCAGGTCTGGGAAGATAGGCTTGTGGCATTTTCTGAAATGCCTTTCAGCAAGTAGCGTTGCTGTTTCAAAGTTGGTGGGATGCAACACGCGGACTGAGACTCTGCTTTCTAGACAAGTTTTAATTGAAGATGCTCTCAGCCCCATCTCTCCTTGGACCAGAAGCGGTGACTCTTGTCCTCATTGCTTTCTGGTTTTGCCAAGCCAAGTGTGCAAGCACTTCTTTTATACTGTTGCAGATGCCCAAATGGCTTGAGCAGCACCAAGTTCTCTGCATGCATCTATTTATGTAATTATGTTATTTATTAGATTTACAGCTATTCTTGTATTCTTCTTACAAAGAACTCTGGGGATGGGTAAATAGGGACACAGATGGAACTGGGTGTCATTGTCTGATCTGACAAACCACTGCATTGCCCCATCTCCATGGACTCATGTCTGAACCAAGTGTTTTACTAGGCTCCCAGAAGCTCAATTAGGTTTTTCAGCTGTGGTCACTTCATGTAGGAGATTACAGTAAAAAAATATCCTTGTCCTGATTTTGCAAAGCATGAAACTCCCTTTTTTGTCAGAATCATAAATCCACATTCTCGTCCCATTAAAATGCAGTGTTAGGGATTTGCAGATTGGTCTGAAGTAAGCTGCAGTTACTAGAAGGGTGGGAATGAATTCTTGTCTTAAATAATAAATAATAATAATAAATAAGCTCAAATTTATTTAGGTTAGTATCATAGTTAACACAACTTTGTGAATTTTAGCATTTGATCATGGGATTCTTTCCCAGCCAGTTGACCTGCTAAGCCAGAATATGGGAATCTGGCTGTCAGCCACTGAACTCGTTCTCTGTCACTTATAATTATAATTAATGTTAATTATTTGAGTTTTAATTTCTATATATTACCATCTTCACCACAACCATCAAATACTACCTGGCATATTTTTGAAACAACAGCCAAACCTCCCCTTCTGGCAGTCTCATTTTCCATGATGTTGTCTGTTCTTTCTCTTGTCATTTTCCCAGCAACTCAACATGCTGGCGAAGTACAGCTAATTTATTTAATAATTTAATTGGCTTTGTAAATCTGTGTTTCTGACATGCTTTTCCCCGGATTATATTAAAAGATGTTTTAGAGCATTCATCTGCTGCCTACTTCGTGCTGTCATTTAGAAAGCATACCAGTCTCTTTATTTAAAGTCAGAGGGCTTGGTGTGACTTTACCCTAACTTCTTAGCCTGGGAAACAGTTGTATCTGCACTCTGGAGTGAAGTCCTCTTCCATCTGTTACTTCTATTCGCACTACTGGTTCAAAACTATTACTTGGCTACCTTGTCATCCCCTAAAAGGTTGCAGCAGTAACACGTTTAAACATGAAAGGAGCAATCCTATGCAAGTTTAGACAGAAAAAGCCCTACAACTTCCAGCAGGCTCCAGCCAAACCCTTTCTGTGTCTAAGCTTCAAAGGACTGTGATGTAGAATCAGCAAGAAAAACAACCCTTTATGTACAGCAGAAACTGTCTAGGGAGGTAATTGTACTTCTGGATGACAAAAGAGCTGAAGGAGTTCTTTAAAAAATAGAAGGAAATTCCAGAGGAGCTGAATTCTTTGAGTCTGTCTTCACTGCAGGAGAAGTACAGCTGATCTGCATGGCTGAACTGATATTTTCAGGAATGGTCTGAGGAATGGAGGCAAATGGAAGAGAGAAACATTTGTTCTGGACATTACGAACAAATTGAAAATGAACAAAGCACTGGGTTCATATGGTACCCATCCAATAACTCTTAATTTCAGTCATTAAACTGCTGATATCCTAAACAAAACACATGCGATGTATCCATGAGATAAGTCTTTTGATCACAGGGGTCGCCCATCCATTCTCTACCAGAATACTGTACGTGGTCAGTGCAGCACTAATTTTTGAGAAGGGGCCAATAAATTACACGCTAGCTAGCTTGGTGTTGGTGTCTATTACAAGTGAATTGGTAGGAAGTGTTCTGGCTTCTCTGGGCTAGCTATTATTTATCTCCTCCTCTTGGCAAGAAATCCAAGGCAACAGATATAATCCTCCTTTCCATTTTATCCTCACAAAGCCCTGTCCATGAGCTTCATGGCCAGATGGAGACTAGAACCTGGACCAGTTGAACCACAGTCCAGCACTCTACCCGCTATACCACACTGCCTTCCTTAAAGACAAAATTACGCACACATAGAAGGATAAGTCTTGCTGAAGAAGAATCAACATGGATTTTACAAAGGAACGTCCTTTTTTAAAAGCCTTTTACAGTTCATTGACTCTGTCAAAGGCTTGTAGATAAGAGTGATCCAATAGGTATTGTTTACTTTGGCTTTCAAATTTATCAAAGATTTCTGAGAAATTATAGCTGTCGGGATCAGATGAGAGGTACTGTTATGGATTAATAATTGGATAAGAGCAGGAAGGAGAGTGTCAGCCTAAATAGGCAGATTTCTCAATGGAGAATAAAGCACGTTTGTCAGGGAGCTGTGCTAGGACCTAGTCCTTCATGGCTCCAAAGTTTAAGATGAACAGTGAAATGGCCATAGCAATGGATACTAAGCTATTTAAGGTGTTTTAGAAAAAAATGAGTGTGAAAAGCTCCGGAAGGTCTCCATACTGAAGGAATTGGCATCACAACAGAAAATGCACTTCAGTAGAAGCAAGTGTAAAGCGATACATCTTGGGGGATGGGATGGAGTCCTAAATTCCCATATACAGTGATGGAATCTGAGCTGGAATGATTGCCCAAAAAATGGATTGCATGTGGTGATCAGTTTGATGAAAATACCAACCCACTGTGCAGTCGCTATGAAAGAGGCACTTTCTGTGCTGAGGATCATTAGGAAAGGAATTGAAAATCAAATGGCCACTATCCTAATGGCCTCGATACAAATTTATGGTCAGCAACATAGAATATTGTGTATAGTTCTGGTCACTGCATCTAAAAAGTATATAATAGAACTGGAAAAGGTGCAGAAAAGGGCATACATTATCAACGGGATGGTGCAATTCCCCTCTGCAAAAAAGGTAAATAATGGGGGAAATGAAATAAGCTTCTACTATTAAGTTGGATGTTGGAGGGCAGACAAAAGGAAGTACTACTTAATGCAACACCTTATTAGATATGGAGCTTGTTACCACAGATGGCACTGGATGGCTTTAAAAAGGGAACTCATGCAAATTTATGTAGGGTGAGGCTATCCATGGTGGGTAGGCATGATGGCGACCTATTCAGTGTCAGAGGCACTAAGCTTCTCCACAATAGTTGCTAGGAAATATGAGGGAACGATGCCTTGCCAAAGGGCTTCTCTGGGCACCTGTTTAGCCCCTGGATGAATAGAATGCTGGATTTGTCAGCCTTTCATCTAGCAGGGCTCTTTGTAGGGTGGAGTGGTGTCAGAAGGGAATTTTGATGGTTTGTGGCTTCATGATCTCACTCCACTTTTCAATTTTCACATTTCCCCCCATTATAGTTATCTATGAATCTCTCTGCTTCAGAACTGTGTTACAATTCTTCATACATCTGCATACAATTCTACATCTGCTTAGTGTCACATATCCATCCCACATATAGTTAATTTGTTTCAGAACATGCATGAGGCTTCTCCTCTTGCGGAACCAGTTGTAAAGGAGACGCCACTGCTTCTGAGCCACCTGCAGAAAGCAAAATATGCTTCCATTGAGCTTCTTTGCATGAGGTCGCCATCCTGAGCATGTCCAGATGTTGCAGTCCACTTAAAATACAATGGAACCACTTTGAGTAGGGTCATTGGCTTTCTTTCTTTCTTTTTCTTTTCTTTTTTTATTGTAGCACCTCCACCTTCCTAACAAGAAATGGGAATTGGGAGAGTCGCTAGTGCTGCTTGGAACAGGGAGACCATGAAGGAAAACACTTGTTTTTCTGTGCATTTACTTCAATTCCTCTGTGCATTTCTGTGCATTTACTTCAATCCGTGCATTACTTCAATTCAATTTACTTAACTTCTTATACCAATAAAATCCAGGATCTTTATATGCCTCCATTGTATGCCACTGTAGGAAAACTGAAGGGGGCAGTAGAGAAGGAAGTGTATTTCAGAGATTATTACACACACACACACACACACACACACACACACACACAGAGAGAGAGAGAGAGAGAGAGAGAGAGAGAGAGAGAGAGAGAGAGAGAATCTAAGTTTACATACAGTGGTACCTTGGCTCATGAACTTAATCCGTTCCAGGACTCTGGTTGTGACCCAAATTGATCATGAGCCAAATTAAATTTCCCCATAAGGTTCAATGTAAATAAGGTTAATCCGTTCTATAACCATTTTTTAAAGCAGAAAAATGTGAAGCAAAGTGACAACAACAATGATCGCGGCCATCTCCCCGCCCATCCCAAGCACAAGCACGGCCATCTGCCCGCCCCGTGCAGCACAACTGAGATTGCACCCGTCATCCCGGCACCCGCCCATCATCCCAGCATGCTGGGGGGTGGGGAAGAGAGATGGGTGTAAACAGTGCCCTGGGGGTGGGGAGATGGCCACGATCGCAGTTCTGTTCGTGCAGGGAAGGCATGCCTGATCAGAGGCGCGCTCCTGCAGGAAAGACAGGCGGAAATTTGGCCATCTCCCCCACGGCTCTGCTTTGCTGCTCCCGTCTTTCCTGCAGCAGTGCGCCTCTGATCACACACGCCTTCCCTGCATGAACAGAACTGCGACCGTGGCCATCTCCCCACTTGGAGAGGCTGTGATCTTGGTTGCCACCCAAAGCAGTGTTCGTGACCCAAGTCAAAATTTTTCAGAAATTCTTGTTCGTGACCCAATTTGTTTGTGAACCAAGGCGTCCGTGAACCGAGGTACCACTGTACATGTTCATACTTAAGTATACAACTGTAAACAAATGGTTTAAAATGGTACTTGTAAAAAGGAAAAAGGCATGGCAAATGCAATGTAGAAGATGAAGTTGAGTTGGGCAATGGACTTGGATAGATGATGTTCAGGCCCTGGATATAAAAAAGATGAAGCTGAAGCCTGTGCTGCAGCTGATAAGGGCAAATCTGTACAAGCAAACATTTTCAAAGGAGTTGCAATCTAGTAGGTTATTTGGGGCTAGTTTTGGTCCATGTTAGTTTCACCTGTCTTCATTCGTAAATCTATTTTATCCTGTTTTCACATCAGTCCAGTTTTGGGGAGTAATTGAAAAAAATCTACATGAAAATTTTCTTTCCATTTCATTATAAGAATGTGTATTTTGTGCAATTAAGTTGAAACCTTCATTGAAAAATTCACAGTCAGAAGAATAAGTCTCCCAGTCCACACATTCATTTGGGAAGTATAAATCAGGTTGGTTCACTTCCAAATGTAGAGTAAAACAAATGCTTATGCAACCTTACACATTCATCTGCTACAGCAACAGCAAGAGTCTTCTGACACATTTGAGTCCAACAAATTAATTAGGGCATAAGCATTTATGAACCAGGACTCTCTTCACCAGAGGCATAGAATACCATCCTGAGTTGTCAGATATAGATACACGTGGATGCAGGAAGGAGGTTGTAGGGGAGTAAAATGCAAGAAGGACAGACTGTAAAAATTGTACGAAAAATTAAATCAGGATTCCCAAACTTCCAACTCTCTGGTGTCCCCCAGACAATTTGGACTTCAACTCCCATGAGCCCCAACCAGCATGGCTAATGGTTAGGAATCCCGGAAATTATAGTCAAATACCTGGACAGCACCAAACTGGAAAAAGCTGAGTTACTGTAAATATTTCTTCCTTTTTTCTTTTTCTTTTTTTTTTTTGAAAATCTTTATTTTTCTAACATAAACAAATGCACAGAAGATAGTATGAAACAAAGCAAGCTAAAATGAACAAAGCAAACAAAGTTGCCAAGGGAATTTTAAACAAATACAATCTATACATAATATTTCAAAAGTGTTGTTAATTTTCTCCTGTACCCCCAGTAGCAGAAGCGCTCCAGGCAGTTCACAGCAATTTATCAAAGTGCAATAACAAAACTGATACAATAAAAATAAAAATGCAATAAAACACAGTGTAAATTAGGAGTAATGAGAAGCCACCTGCAGAGTAGTGTTGATAAACATCCTGGCACTGATAAGTTCATTAAAACCTGCAGTATGATTAAAAGGCATCATCCCTATTCAAGCCACAGGTGCATTCATGCCACACCCATTGCTCATAAGCTGGAAGTTCCTAAGTCTGTAAGCATCTTTTAAAAAATTAATTGAGCTTTGTGAGTTTGTCAGAAATTACTTAAATAAGTTAAATGAGTTAATGATGGGTTGTAGCTTAGTGTAGGGCACATGGTTTGCATGTAGGAAATTCTGCATTCAGTTCCCGGCATCTCCAGGTAGCACTTTGATAAATTGCTGTGAACGTCCTGGAAAAAATGCCTAAAACCCTGGAAACTCCTGCAAGCTGGCATAACTGGGCTGAATGAACCAGTGGTCTGACTCCGTACAAGGCAGCTTCAGATGTACTTTTTAGGTATCTGGTGAACCCGGGAAAGGTGTTGGATCTTGCTTCCAGCTATAGAAAGGTGAGAGAGCAAGTGTTCCACCATGGAAAGTTCCCAGAGGTCCTGTCCTTGGCCATGTTTTCTCTTTAGCCGTTAGGTTCTTTTTCTGCATTCAGAATAAATTGGACAAACAAATCTGCTTATATTTTAATATTAAAAAAAAAACTCTTTGCAAGAATAGGCAAGAATGACTCAACATTCCTGCATCATATTTCAGGTGGTAGATTTGTGTGACCTCAGGTGTGTGCAGTGGTGACAGCTAACCCAAAATGCAGGTAAGTCATCCACTAGGACCACCTCCTCTTCCAAGCAAGGATCTCATTGGACTGAATCAATGAGATGTAATCTTCTACCAGCCCCCCACCCACCCCAAACCCACAGCTTTGCAGAAAGTGACAATCATGTTTGCTATCTTTGAGAAAAAGCATTATTCTGTGGAGGAAGCCAAATTGCACATATGTTAGTTTGTTGCTCTGTTGGATTTGGGTAAGTTCCATGCCTGGCTGAGCATGCAGTTGCCAAATGGAAGAGAGAAAGTATTGGAGAATGAGAGTCAACCATCGAGAGAAAGAGGCAATGCAGCCTGGCAAGGAAATCCATCCAGCAAAAGGTCAAGCCATACCCAGGGAAACTGGCAGGGGAAAAATAAAATCCAGATGAGTCTGTCTTAGCTGTTTTCTGCTGTGTTTTGCAGTGTTGCTATGTGACTTAATTGGGACCCAGTAGGATTCTAGGGTGAAATGTATACTTATTTTAGGACTCATGTCTCACCTTTTTCTGAGTGTTTCAAGGCAGAAAACAAAACATCGTCATAAAAGTAATCTACTGAGCTGAATATGAAGTAATATAAAAGTAAAAACAATACTGAGCTGAATCCAGACTGAGACATATTGGCTTTAGTCTGTGAAAGGTTAATCATAGAATGGGTTGGATTTGGATCTAGATGCTGCACTGACCATGGAATTAGTTTAATGGCCTCAGTTTCCCTCCAGCAAAGTGGGAATAATAATCACTTCCATGATTATTCTACAGGTGCTATTGTAGTTTCCTTTAAAACTACTGTTTTAAAGGAAAAAACACCTTTGTGATATGATTTCTTTTGCTTAGAAAATATACATGAAAGAAATCTGAAATAGGCTGTCACTCATGCAAAACCCATTATGTGGGGTATGGCCAGAGCAAGACTAAGAGAATTAGCTTCCTGTACTCTTGAAGCAGGCAATTGCAGTTGCAGTGTAGCAAAAACTATATGAGATGGAATAAGATCAAATTTGAATTGCTTCATCAGGCCTCGATAGAACAGAGCGGAAGTCAATTTGCTGAGTAAAACGTATTTTTTAAAACAGTAATCCCAGACTCCTCTTACAAGCTGCCTGAAGCTCCAGTGTTCTCCTATGAAACCTTTTCATCTGTACCGCATTGTAGTAACAATTGAAGAATTTGAAAAGTACAGAGGAAGACAACTGAAAGGATTAAGGATTTGGAACCCCTTTCCCTCTGAGAAAAGGCCAGAGCATTTGGCACCTTTAACTAGGAATGAAATTAGGAAGGACGGTATGAGAGAAGGCCATCAATATGAATGGCACGGAGAAAGCGATCTGTCATCATTCCAGGACTTGGGTCAAGCATTAAATTTGGTGGGTAGCCGGTTCACAACAGGCATCTAATTTAGATGGCTTTTACAGAGAATGAATTAGACTAGCCTTCCCCAGCTTTCTGCCATCCAGATGTGTTGGTTCAGCTTCCATCAATACTAGTTAGCATGGCTAATGTCTGCAAGTGATAGGACCTGCCATCCATATCTGGCATGTACCAGGTTGGGAAATGCTGGCTTAGGGTTTTCATTGAGAATATTGTTCTGTTATGAACAACTTCCTGCAGGAAGAGCTAAATCCTATCCCAAGATGCTTTATTAGTGGTTATGAGCCATCATTCCTAGATGTATCCTTTCCTGTCCCGCTTTCAAGTGTCAAAAAGCCTCTGGCTCACTGGAGTTGCAAATGAAGAGCAGTATCCCGCTGTGTCATTCTGTTGGCACAAATGACGCCGTGCTATTGACAGTGAAGGTCCCACCTACACTCAGGAGGAGACTGCAGCTGAAATGTTGCTTCCTTCTACTTGAGCAATTGCAATCTGCTTGTGTAACTGAAAGATTTGGCAGAGTTCTAGCACTGAGTTTATGCTATGACACCACTGGTACCTGATGCTAAACTTGACTGAACTTTCACCTTCCTAGCAAGTCTATTATGTTCTCTGTAAGATTTTAATAGAGAGGGGTAGAGGAGCGATTCATCAATCCTAAATCTTTTCCTTTGTTTTACTCAGTGGAAGCATCGTATTTAAATTTTGACGACTGTCTCCAAACTTGTACAGAGCATAATTAATTGAGATGTGCAGTACCCGCCCCCCCATTAGTAGAATGTTCAGCTGGCTGACTTGCATGAATAATCCATCTCTGTGAATCATTAACTTACAAGACAGGCTACAGTAATTGATGTCTTTATGCAAGCTATAGAAACATTCGGGGAAATAATTTATTTCCCTTGCTGGCAATTTTTTTAATTCATTTGTTTGTTTTATCGTGCTTCACATGCTAAAAAGCATTGTGCTATAGCTCTGAATCAGACTTGCTTGAGGTTAAATGCTTCAGTGAGATGAAATATCTTTTTAAAGATCTATTATCCCAAGGTTTCTTTGGAATAACTAAAGGTGGTAAGTGCAGGAGAAAAAATATGGCTGTTCTCTGAAGTTGCCCAACTTCAACAAACTTTCACGTTTTTGTGTTACATATCTGTTTGGGTTGTTTTATTTTGTTGCATTAAAGTTTAGTGTTTCTCTTGTATATGCCACTTCGAGTACTTTGTTGAGGCAAGATAAACATTTTATATAAAAGAACAAGTGAGCACAGCGTGAACTTTCCTTCTTTTGAAAAAGAATGTTATTCGTTATAGGTATCAGGATGACAGGGAATGATGGGAGATGTAGTCCAATATATCTGGGAGGCACCAGGTTGGAGAACATCAGTAAGCACTAATGGCAAACTCAGTTCTCTGAATATATAGTTATGCATAGATTCATCTGCAATCAAAACAGAAGTACTATATGAGAACATTTTGCCATTTATAGCTGTAGAAATGGGGGCAAAATGGTGCTAACCTTCCTGTAAAACCCAATGAGAATGGCATGTGTTCCGTAGTTAAAATGTTACCTTATTGAGAAAGGGAAACCTGGAAAATTGGTGGGGAGGAGAGAGTAGGGTGGATGAACTGGAGAATGGCATGGCTTGCTACACTGGAGCAATTTTCTGTGTTCCTAAAGGACCTTGAAGGAAGAGCTAAGCACTTCACATCCACATAGTGGCAGTGAAACAACAACCTGATAAGGTAGGCCACAAGAGGAAACGTTCATCTGCGCACTGGTTTATTCTGGGGTGGGGCCTGTACTTGTGCCTGTGCCTGGTTCATACACTGGATTCTTCACATGCTCATGTTTGGCTAAGCAACTGCCTGGGCCCAAGATCGTTTTCACTGCTCCAGGTGTCCCTGCTAAATAGAGGGAGATGGATAGCTACCCAGAAGAGGGCCTTTTATGTTATGGAATATCCTCCTGAAAGATGTTTGCCTAGTCTTTGCTAGGCTCTGTCTGACACCAAATGAAGACCTTCATTTTATGTAATATGTGGTTGTTCTGCATTGTACAGTTTTAATTGTTGTGAACCACCCTGACTACTTCAGCTACTGGGCAGTATAGAAATGTAATAACTAAATAACCTTGCAGGGCTATGCAAGTATGGGACCTGGCCTTTCATAGTGAATTATCCTTTATGAAAGAATAACCACATTTGTACATTTGGTTTATATATGAAGATACATAAGAGTAGTTCTCGCTCTTCCAGAGGAATTCGTCCCTACTTAGCTGAATAAGAGGTCGCTGACGCTCGCTCTCTTTTAAAGAAAACTGCATAATGACTCAAACTTAGTGAAATGGTGGCTAGATTTCCATAGCCTGAGATATGTATTCCAGCAAATAATAATGTCTCTAAAAATGAATAGCAGCTTCTTATTCCTTTTAGTAGGTAAAAGTACTTGCAGTCACTTTGGATTTATTTTTAGAATAGGACTTGTCAAAAAGGAAGCAAAAATTAAATCTATAAATCAACAATGTTCCCTAGGAAATGGCTAAAAGCTAGCCTGGATTTTGGAATGGTTTCATTTTCATTTTCTTGAGGGGTGAGGAGAGTTGTTTGTTTGAACAGGAGGGGTTTTTTTATAATATACTAAATGTGCGTATAAAATGTGCTGTTGGATATACCAGAGAAACAGTGGTTTGTGTTTGTTTGCAAATTTGCACACATGTTCAGGCTCCCCTGGGGCTTGCCTCTTCGAGGAGGAAAGAAAGTGTTCTTCACACCATGCATAATTAATTCCCGGGATCAGCAGCCACAAGATGCAGTGACGGCCATTAGCTGGGACAGCTTTAAAGGGAGATTAGACAAGTTCATGAAGGATGGGTCCATTAGTCAGGATGGCTATAGGGAACGCGAGGTTCAGAGGCCGTTATACTGTCGAATTCCACTTGCTAGGGAGCAGAAGTAAGCAACTGCTATTGCCTTTACGTTCTGCATTCTGGCTTTGCAAAAGCATTGCTCTCTTGTGGGAAACAGGGTGCCGAAGCTGAGACCTTCTGGTCTGATATAACCCAACTCCTTCACTCTGGTGCCTTCCAGGCCACTGTGGTTTCTCCTGCCCTTGCTTCTTTCTCCCCTTCCATCAAGCTTTGACTTCCCCTCCCATGGCTCCCTTATTATGCCATCCTCCCCCCCAGAGGCAAACACACCTTTGAATGCAGGTTGCTATGTAGCCATCACTCCTAAGCCAGGGGCCTCTTGGCAAGCGCATATTATCGGATCCAAACTAATTGCAGATCCCAAATAAGCATCAGAGGCAGAGAATGTGGGTGGAGGTGGTCAAGGGTGAAAGCAAATATTATGGGAGGGCTGAACGAGGCCCCCAGGTAATATTTGCTGTGTACAGAGTACAGGTCTGCAGATATTGGGAATTCACTTAGTTGCTGCCTTCTGGTTAAAAAAAAAAAGTCTAATTGGTGTGAACTCTGTTGAACAGGGGTGGGGAACCTTTGTGGCCTGAGAACATGTCTGAAAAGCTCTCAGGGATTACATTCCAGTGGAGCATGGAAAGCAAAAGTGGGTGGGGTGAAACCTTCCCTCCACTCCCAAATCCCTTACCACTCAGAAGTAAATCATTCTACTCACAAA